CCCCCCCCCCCACAAACCTCCCAAGTCCCTCACCCCAGGTTCACCATTATGGTACAGTAATTACTGTAGCATAACGGCAAATCCAGGAGACGAGGAAGCTGGGGGTTTGTAGAGCGTTAGACACCCCTTCGGATTGAATGGAGCTCCGTACGACCCTCAAATGGGCCAGGTGTCATATTATGACACCATTGAGTGAGGTCAAAAGGAACCGCACTCACTTTTATTATGTTTTCAGTTTTATGTAACTTTCATCCACATGACCACAGGTCCACCAATACTGCAGATATTTGATTTGATTGTGTCCACTTGTGTTTTTAGCTTCCATGTTTTTTTATTTTATTTGCATTCAAAAAACATACCAATTCAATTTTGTTTATTTATTAATTTATTTTGACCAATTGTCCATTTTATTAATTTATTTGGTTATTTTATACTCCCTCCATCCCACAATGTTTTTCTTGTTTTGACTATTGAAGTCGACCAGGATCAACCTTTGACCTGTAATTTAATAAAAATAATATTGTATATTAATCAAATAAAACAATATTTTCAAAATATTTTACAAGATAAATCTAAGATAGTTATTTTTGTAATGATATCTAATCTCAATTTATGTAAGTAATGGTCAAAGTTTGTCATTTTTTACTTCAAAAAGTCAAAAAAAACACTACAGGACGAAGGTGGTACTATTTTATTATTTTATTACTATATAAAATGATAACAATTCAATGTATTGTTTTTCATTATTTATGGTTAAATTTTTAAAGTGTTGACTAGAACACATTTCAAAGAAACATAGTTAAGGAGTACTCCCTCCGTCCAATAATTATCTTCCTTCTTTTCTATTTAGGTTGTCCCAAAATTTTCTCCTTTTTTCCTTTTAAGGGAAAAGTTATGTAGTCCATATCATTTCTCTTTCCTCTACACAAACCACAACTACAGGCATTTTACTTTATTAAAATCATCCCAAGTCAAACAATAAAGAAAAAAATATGGGACAGAGGGAGTATTTCAAAATCACAAAGGGAATACTAAATTAATTAATTTAATACTTTAATAACTTACGTTAACTCTATAATGATAACGAAAATTGATTTTGAGAGCAAAAGATATTTTGTAATAAATTGCGACATTACATCAATTTTTTCTGTTCTAGCAAGATAAATTAATAATAATAAAATAGTAATAATAATAACAACAACAACAACAATAATAATAAAGAATAATAATATAAAATATGTACTTAACTGTTTTTTAAGTCGTTGGAAAAATTGAAGGGGATAGAAAGAGTTGGAGAATTTGGAAGGAGTTTGAAAAAACTAGAAAGAGTTGGAAAATATTACGAGTAGAAGTTTAAGGTTAGAACCCAAAAGAACTGAGCCTTAATAAATAGCGATTATCCACTTATAGCTACACTTTTTATGAATGTGATGCCATTCTGTATATTATTTTAATGCGGCCACAAGATTTGCTACATGATATTTGATGCTGCAAAGCAAGTTGTTTCACTGGTAGAACCAGATTAGGTGCTGTGCATTTTAAGTCCTCTGACGCACTACAAATCTTATGATGTAGGACCCCTTGCAAGACTTGGCGCTCTTACCCCCTAGAGGCTTGTTCCTTTCTTCTGTAGCACATAATTCCCTACTTGGAAGGTCTGAGACTTCAATCATGTGTCAAACATAGTTTGTAAGGCAGCAAGGCGAGGCACCGATGTACCTTCATATCGCCTAGGCGACTCGGCGCACGCCTAGGCGAGACACACACACACACACACATATATATATGTCTTATACATTTTAAGGAAGCTTGATCGAGACCAAGAAGACCGAAAGAGAAGATAAGTTTAAGTCTATTAGGCTACACTAAAAGAAAATGGGGCTGCACTAGAAAATGGGTTTTTTCAAAAATTTGAAGGGGCCCAAGGCCTCAAGGCAAGTTAAGGCGACGCCTAGGCGAGCGCCTGATCGCCTTAAGGTTTTATAGGCGAGGCGAGCAGACAAGGCATCCCAATGACAGCGCCTTATCACCTAGGTGACGCCTTACAAACTATGGTGTCAAAGATTTCCTTTACTTGCCTGGGGTAATTTTCCACTCTACACTTTTCTTCATAGAAGTTCAAGTCAATCCCCAGCTTGGCTTCGTGCATTTCAAGCTCGTAATCCTCAAGAATCTTCAAGAATCCCGGTCTGCATCAAGAGCCTTAATTTGCCCACTATGTCTTTGTCCAGGGGTAGCCCAAAGCAATCAACGCAAAGTTCTTTAAAGAATTTTCCCTCCCCATTCCTTCTTCCATCAGTTCATCCAAGAAAAGTTGGGCATCAACCAACAAGGGAAAAGAAACAATACTATTGAGATTAGTCCAAGCCCGAGCACGAGCACTCATGGCTTGATGTCCCAAGCTTAAGCTTGAAGGATCAAAGAAGAGTTCAAGACGTCACTCCAAGAAAGGAAAGAGGAGTTGCACCAAGAAGGGAAAAAACGTGTTGATGAGCATTAAAATCCAAGGAGGCGCACCACTAGAAGACTAAATAGAAAAGAGGCATCAACACTTCCAAATGGGAAAGAAAGCTACATGTTTTCCTAATTTGTAAGAGAATATGAGACGACATTGTCTTAATTTCATTCCCATGCATAATAAAATAGGGAGGAAAAGGCATTAAACACCTTCCTTGTTTGCAAAGGAAGAAGGGAGGAAATTAAATACACGCCTAGAAGACATCAAGGAAAAGGAATTCAAATCCCTTACTATATGAAGAAGCTTCACTCTTATGGACCAAAAGAAGAGAGAGTAATTCACATTCAAACTCCTTTCTTTTTGAGAGAGCTACACAAGTCACATGCAACCAAGACAAGCAAAGGATTCAAATTTCAAATCCCTTTCCTTATTTGATTCTAGATTATACTACTCTCTCTGTTTGGGAAAACATTTCCTCTTTCATTTTTTTTCTTCCACCAAAACACTTCCACTTTCTATTTAAAAACCACTTTTACTCCTACTTTTTCTTACCCTACCTATCACATCATACTTTTTCTCTAATAATCTATCCATCACATCTTACTTTTACCCATCACATCAAGGGCAAAATTAGAAGTCAAGTACAATTTAACACTTCGTTATTTTGGCACTTGGTCAAAATGGGGAGTGTTTTCAAGAACGGAGGGAGTACATGAAAAAGATAAAGAGAAGAAGGAATATTCAAATTTCAAATTCATTTCCATTTATTAAGGATCACATACAAGGGAGCTTCTCATTAGTACAGAAAACATTTTAATTTGATTGTCCAGTTACTTTAGGTGATAGGGCAAAAAAAAGTCAGTTTTATTATAGCATTTTGTATTCAAAATACTTACCATGTAGAGAGGGGAATGTATACCTCTAAAAAGATCTCATCCAATGCAATTATTAGCTTAAATGGTTGTTGAATGATAAAACATTGCTTTGAGAGATTCATATTGCATCTTTGTGACTTACCAACTGAGTAGTTGTGACGACTAAGTTCTTATCAACTCTCGGTGGCGAGAATCATCCTTATCACCTAGTCAAAGGTGTGGCAGATTTAACCTCTTATTTGTTTTGGTTTTTTTCTTTTTTTTTAAAATTTTCCATTGAATATTTTCATGTGTTTTATGTTTAAATTTTTCCTTAGTTTCACAAGCTAAGCTTCCAGATTATAAGTGTGTTTAAAAACTTACCCCAACCTCATAGCATTTAGCATCAGAGCTTATGATGATAAATACATTCTTGAAATCGACCTTATTGGTTTTTTTATATAGGTTTGTCCGCATTCTTCATTCAAAACAAAAAGCTTGTTCTTGTGTGTTCTTCATTTTCATCACATTAACATCATCTTATTAAAAAAATGTCTTTTTTGTGTTCTCATATGATCTATTTCAAAAAATAAATATATTTTTGTCATACATAGTTTTTTTTGTGTTCTCATATGATCTTTTTTGTGTTCTCATTATATATATATATATATATATATATATATATATATATATATATATATATATATGGGATGACTATGGACCAGTAGAACTTACCTTTCATCCTGCCTTGAACCCAACCTCCACATAGCCCAAGCTGCTCCAACACGATGCACAACATCCTCGTCTACCTCCCCATCGGCCTAAATGACCGAGCCATGATGTCGAAACTTGTCCAGCTTGGGCAATATGTGAGAGTCAATCTAACTTCCCCCCAAA